ATATTAACATGAAATTTTACTGGTGTGTAGCAAAAGGTTCAAGCTATCGAATGGTAATACACTTATGGTGGCTATTTTTTATTTTAGTACTTGTATTTACATTTAAAGTTTGCCTCGGGCACTGTATGCCCAGAACACGGACAAAAGGTTAATTGTGTTTGACTGAAACAATTTCGTGTGATCGCACACTCACTGCCACCGAAGCAAAGAACACAATTTAATTACACTTTAATTTTACCGCATCATTATCGGATGACAATGGAAATGATTTTTAGGTTAGAGTTTTGGGTAGAAAATCGGCGGCTGTATCGAATGTTGTGATATTACGGCGATTTCTATTAATCTGGTTGATTCACACGTGACAACATTTGGATTTTTCTTTGTAATAATCTAATGAAAGAACTATGATTAAATCCTATAAAATAGCTTGCTTTTGCGCGATTGAAAAAATGCAGCGAACATTGAAAGAAATAAAAGTGTTTATACAATTTTTTTTTCCCAGAACCATGTTGTCTCGTCCAAGTTCAGCATACGAAAGAGAGAATTTTTGAATTTGCAGTGCGAATGAATGACCATTCATTGAAATATTCGGTTTCCGTTGAACACGTTCAATCGAAAATGTTATTATATTCATTGGAATGAACGCCATCTCTTTGTGTACTGAAAAAAATCAAATGTGTCAAAGCAAATAAAATGCATCTCATTTGAAATATTCGTTTAGTGTTTAATTCGATTGCTATAATTTATTTCAATGTATAATTGGTCGATTTCCATAGTAACGAAAGGCCTGAAAATTGCCGACTTTTTTCCCATCAATATAATGAAATGAAATAAGACAATTTCGGCATAGAAAAACTGGATCTTGAATGTGGGCGTTGCTTTTCTTCACGGTAAACGTAGCCTCAATGATTCCACACACCTGGCATAATGTCATTTTGGAGCTGGACACGCAACGCAATAGCGGATAATCGGTCGATTTCAGGGAATCGTCTGGGGCCAATAGTCGAATATCGGTGAAACTGATGATGTGCTCACAATTCACATAGTGTCGATAGAGTTGTGGGTATCCAACGCGTACATTGAGATCTTCAAACTTCACATTCTGCATCGATTTCACTTGTGCTGGTCCAATGTCATCCCGTCGTGACATCCATTCACGGATTTCTTTCGTATAATCGGTTTTTGTCGTGCGATCATCATTGTAAAATGTGTCAGCGATGAAGAAAAATCCGAAATCATCTTCTCTGTTTGTGTTCGTCTCTTCAGGTGGCTCAGTTTCTTGGTTCTTAATGCTCTCAAAATCGTTGCTGATGTCTTTGAATGGTCCAAACTGACAGTGGCAATAGATTTTATCTCGTAATTCGGTCAACTCTTGTCGACCCAGCACAACAAATTCCTGGCTTAAGCGTGGTTTACGTGCTGTACCTTCACCTCGTTTGTATACAAATGGCTCATAAACTCGTACTGTGATCAAAATCTCTTCCAATGGCACCAAATCGCATGACTCATCTGTGTTATCTATTTTGTGCTCGATGTATCGATAGCGATTATACTTTCTTGGTATATTTGTGTGGTACCGTACCGAATTCTCTTCGACTCGGTGCCGCATACAACGCAATCGCATCGCTTTCTTCGGTATTTCAATCGATTTCTGGCCTGGTTTCGCATGTAGATCATGTAGGTTCACGTCAAATATTGGAATATCATCTGGTTGAGCCAAATTATTCAGTGATATTGAATCCTCTAGCAGTTCCTCTTCGGCACCGCTTCGTATATCCAAAAGTTCCTTTACATCTTCGTATGTTTGCGGTAGGTGTGCAACACTTGTGGGACACAATTCGTTCTTGAACTCAGTAAATTTGGCACGAATATTGATCAATTCACCACATTTTATTCGATAAATGTTCTCCATTTCATCTGCAATCGAATCATAATTTTATTTTCTTTTCAATATTGAATCAAAATAAATAATATTGGCATTGTTTTGCTTACCTGTTTGTGTTGTTTCCGCAAACCGTTCAAATTGTCAAGTGTCAAATATCCGATGTGTTGAATGCGAACGCTTCAACTTCACATCGTTCGGATGGAAACCACTTTGCACGGCATTGAACGTACTATCCTAAATGTCGCTTTCAAATCGAACATCGACAACGGATTTTTGTGTCAACACCACATATCATTCATTCTCATCATTGTCGTCCTCATCGTACATCATTTTTTTACATTTGGTCTAATATTTTGCATACATATTTTTTTATTTTTGTAACAAATTCATGGAGTTTTTTTTATTGACATTGTAAAACCAGTGAAGAATATTGATTTGAAAGTGAAAAAAGAACTAAATAAATCATAAGGAATACGAATTTTTTAAGGAAAAAATTGTTTTGCGAAGAACTTGTGTTGATTGAAGTGAATATAGAGAGAGAAGAAGCGACAGTGCATCGAAGAAGCCGCATAGTGAAAATCATGGATCAATTTTCAACGCCACAGAAGACGCCGATTCGATCGGTTTTGAAGGAGATTAATGCCAATGATTTTGTAGTAAGTTTTTTTTTTCGTTTACGAAAAAAATCTATGTTTTCCAATAGCAAATATATTCGGACGAATACATACACTCGGATCGTATCAGTGTTTGTGTAGAGAAAAAAAATAGTTTGATCCAAATTAAATCATTTTCATCAAAAGTGTGAAGAAAATCTAACGGAATTGCGTGTTGTCGAAGAGTGCTGTGTGAATTCCATACATTTGACAATTGTTTCAAAGCAATTCGATAGCGCATGACTGAAACTTTTTTTTTTGCCATCATTTTTTTTTCTCCCTCGTCTGTCGTATACGTCGACTATGGTCGACTTTACATTCATGTGGTCGACTGTGCGATTCGATTGCACAGGGTGCAGGCAAACACTATTCCTGTGACAAATGCCAGTCTCTGCGTCACATAATCTCATATAAAATCTCATGCCACTTGCGAATGCTCCTATTTTTTTTATTGAGTAAAAACATAGTTTTCTTCCGTGACATTCAGTTGCAGTGAAAAACACAGTGACACGACGTTGACAAAATTTGTGTTGAATGAAAACCAAAAGCGAAATTCTCTGCTTCAAGTGATAAAATAGCTTTGGATAAGGTTTTTTTGTGAATTTATTGGTTTCTTTTCCAAGTGTTTATGGTTAATTCGTTAGCCCGTTGAATGTAAGTACACAGAAATTGTTGTGTGGAAGGTGATTTTCAAAAGTCAAAATATCCATGTCATTATTATCAAAACAGCGTTATAATAACAACTGTCTCACATTTCTAGACGCAATAACAATTTTTCGTTATTCCTCCGATATTTTATTACATTTGATGGGTGTTCAACTCAAAACAGTCGATACAAACTCGACCATAAACTCAATCATAAAATTGAGTAATCACTTGTTTCGGCTTTCTTCAAGTGAAAAATAGATCGATTAAACTGCAATTTAATTAATAAGCAAAAAACTGAAGTCGAAATGCTTTCGCACTCACGCAATTCCTCATCATTGTCAATCATTATCAATTAGTTTCATGTTTGATTCAGTCGTTCGTATCAAATCGAGCTGGGAAATTGAAGCACCAATTGCTTTGTTTCAAATTTCCTTGTTTTCATACATTTTCAAAATTTAATCGCAGTTCACTTCTGGCTTTCAGTGCAATAGAAAGTTTGTTTTTTCCGGTGCATTTCATGATTTGCTCGTTACGAAATTTTCATTTCAATTCTTAAATTAAAGTTAAAAAGTATAGTTCTGGTGAATGTTATACAGTTTAAAACTGCAGTAAAATCATCTTGGGAATAAAACTATCACCGAAAAAAAGCAAGTCCAATGGGAAATAAAAACTCCAAAAGAAAGGTGATTTTCAAATGTTCGACGGTGAAACAATCAAGAAACTGTTTCACCGCTCACTGAGTTTTTTCTGTCTTACGCGAACGAAGAATAATAAATCCAGAGCCACAATGTCATGGCCTCTGTGTATTGTGTATAAACAGAGATATGGCTTCCCATGCGTTGCTCCGTACATACCATATAGCATACAAAAGCAAAGTGCCCGTCGCTCTCCCTCATTGAACGCTAATGCTTCAATGCAATTGCTGTTCTAATTTGCATGCAAACCATTTTATTGGATTTTTTTTTCGTTGGTCGAGTGATGTGAAAACACATGCAAGTGAATTACATTATGCAGTTGTATACTGCACACTGCACACACGTAGAAAAAAAACTACGACCAAAATGCCAACCACATGCCAAATGAAAGTAAAACATGCAAAGTTTTGCGAACAAGAAACAATTATATTTGCCCGGAATAGAGGTGGAATGGTACAAATTGGTGAAAATATATCACCATAGAAGTAATTATACAATGCGTCAGCATATGCAATTCCAAACTACTTTTTAACGCCTGAGTACCACAGATACATTTGTTGTCAAGTTCCAAACAACTCAATGGAACGCCTTCGAAAATCACACAGACAAAAAAGAACGCATAAGAAAAAACCGAAATTATTTCAAAGTGAACGATCTCTTTATCGGCGCCGGAACATATGTTTGTCTAAGCTTCTAAGCTTATTAGAATTTCGTGTGTTCAAAATTAAAAATTCAGTTCAACACAGAAATATCTATTTCTTTTTATTGCATTACATTGTTGATGCCAATACAACGATTACTAATGGAATAAAATAACATAAACGGTTATGTTGAGTGTGCAACGTGATCACTGAACCATAAGACTTGTGGCACAAGTCATTACAGTGAAACGACCGCTCTAGATCATTTCGAGAATGATTTGTTTATACAATGATACAAAAAATTTAGGAATATTTCCAAGAAACACAGAATCCGAAGAGAGAGGTTTATTTTTAGTTCGTATGTTTACAGTAAATCAGAGAATATCTAAGCCGAATCAGTGCATTCGGCAAACCGACAAAAACGTGTGACAATTTCAGAAGCAAAAACAGCATCACAGAAAATAAAAATCATATTTGTTCCAATTGGAGTTTTGGACCAAAATTCACTACGGGAACTGTATACCCCAGAGTACGTACGGTGCACATGTGTTTACAAACACACATATCTCACATATGCTTACAAATATTAACATGAAATTTTACTGGTGTGTAGCAAAAGGTTCAAGCTATCGAATGGTAATACACTTATGGTGGCTATTTTTTATTTTAGTACTTGTATTTACATTTAAAGTTTGCCTCGGGCACTGTATGCCCAGAACACGGACAAAAGGTTAATTGTGTTTGACTGAAACAATTTCGTGTGATCGCACACTCACTGCCACCGAAGCAAAGAACACAATTTAATTACACTTTAATTTTACCGCATCATTATCGGATGACAATGGAAATGATTTTTAGGTTAGAGTTTTGGGTAGAAAATCGGCGGCTGTATCGAATGTTGTGATATTACGGCGATTTCTATTAATCTGGTTGATTCACACGTGACAACATTTGGATTTTTCTT